CCGGCGGGCGGGCGGGCGGGCGGCGCCAGGCCTGCCGCGAGCCCGGCGCGCGAGCCGGGCCGAGCGAGCGAGCGAGCGCCACGCCGGGCGGCCAGGCGGCCGGACGGACACCATGGGCCGGAGCCCGCGTCCTCCGGGCGCCCCGGGCCCCGCCAGCACGCACCGGGGGCCCCCGGGGGCCCCTCGCTGCCGCCCCGAGACGGTGGCCGAGCGGGCGGGCGCCTAATTCTCCCGGAAGGGTTATTCTCTCGCTCTATTCTTATTTTGGGGGGAGCCAGCGAGACAGCTCCTTTTGGGGCGCGCTGGTAAGGTGGGAGGGGGTGGGAGCTGGACGATTTGATTCTTTCGCGTGTGTGTAGAAGCGGCCGCCGCCGCCGCCGCGGCGGAGACGACAACAACTTGCTCGTTTTCAGGTTGGGTTAACGGCATGGAGAACAGTCACCCCCCCCACCACCACCACCAGCAGCCCCCGCCGCAGCCCGGCCCTTCGGGCGAGAGGAGGAACCACCATTGGAGAAGTTACAAGTTGATGATTGACCCGGCTCTGAAAAAGGGGCATCATAAACTGTACCGCTACGATGGGCAGCATTTCAGCCTGGCGGTGAGTAGCCGGCGCGCCTCCCCGCCGCCCCCACCCACCCCCAGCCGAGCCCGGGGCGTGGGGGAAAAGGGTCCGAGCGGCCCAGGGTACCCCCCTTCCGACCACCGGGCCAACTGTCAGCCCGGTCCCCAGTCCTGGAGTTTGACAAGTGCCTGGAGAAGGGGGGTGTCTGCCCCTGCCCCTGGGGAGTGGGACCAGCCTTCCCATTACGCCCCCCACCCCCACCAATTCCTCCCCACAGATGTCCAGCAACCGCCCAGTGGAAATTGTCGAAGATCCCCGGGTCGTTGGGATCTGGACCAAAAACAAGGAGCTGGAGCTGTCGGTGCCCAAATTCAAGGTAGGACCCCTCCCCCCGACCCCACGGTCCCTTCCCTCCCCCCTCCCCGCTCCCCGAGTTCGAAAATAACGCCAGTCCTGACCGAGCCCAGCCAGATTCTGAGTTCCCGCCGTCCACGGCTGGGGAAGTTTTGGCGGGGAGGGGGAGATGGCAGCGAGAGGGGTGTCCCCTCTGGGCTGCTGTAAACAGAATAACACTCAGTGAAACTGTAATCAAGGATCTGATACAGTGTCCTGCCGGCCCACCTTGGGGCTCCGGGTCCCCACCTGGCTCCTGCCAGCCGGGCTGCTCTGCCCCGGGACCCGCCCCCCTTCTCAGCCTTACGGCTCAAGGGGGACAACTTCCTAGACCAAGGGTTCGCCCCTGACCCCGCAGCAGGGAGAGGAGGCCGGAATGGGGGGGTGGGGAAAGAGAAACTGTTTCTTTTTCCCCTTTCCTTTCGAACCCAAAGGACTTCCACGTTCCAAACGATTTAATCCTCTGCTTCCCGGGCCCGCCCGCGTGCATTTTTTTCCCCCCAAAAACAAAACAAAAACAAAAAACCCCCAAACATACATATATGTGTATATGTATTTTTTAAAATTTTTTCATTGTTTTAAACTGGCATGCAAGTGGGAAATGTTGTGTTTCCCTTTGGTTTCAATGTTCTCCAAACTCCCTTCCCCCTCGTCCCTGCCAGATCGATGAGTTCTACGTGGGCCCGGTGCCTCCAAAGCAGGTGACATTTGCCAAGCTGAATGATAACATCCGAGAAAACTTCTTGAGGGACATGTGTAAGAAGTATGGGGAGGTGGAGGAGGTGGAGATTTTGTACAACCCCAAGACCAAGAAGCACTTGGGCATTGCCAAGGTGGTCTTTGCCACAGTCAGGGGAGCCAAGGAGGCCGTTCAGCACCTTCACAGCACTTCGGTCATGGGGAATATCATCCACGTGGAGCTGGACACTAAAGGTGAGTGCTTAGGTCCTGCATCTCCTTTGCGGTAGGTTGTTCTGTCACTAGGACTCCTTTCCCTCCCTGAGCCCCTCTTGTAGTGTTGGGGACCCCCGAACGCTATTTTTTTTTGCCCCCTCCTGAGGGTAGAGTCACGTGGAGCTAAATGTGTTGTCTGTTGCTAGGAGACAAGCTATAATTTACCAAATGTGCTGTCCTTGGCTACTGCATGCACCCCTGGGGACCACCCAGAGGCTTCCCCACCACTGACACCCCTGCGGGCCCCTCTCGGAGCCCTGGTGGCCTGGGTTTAGGCAGTCCCCAGTGTTGCCATCTGTGTTAGGGGAGGAGGCGGGGTTTGTTTATCTGTGAGGGGCTGAGGGAGAGCCGCCAGAATGCCTTTAAATATAGAGAGGGTAGGTCCTTCAACTAAAAAGAGCGCCCTCGGAGGATCCAGGGTCCTCCCCACCATCCCCATGCTACCCCTTCCCTCTGGAAGTGGAAGCCAATCTGGGCCCAGAGTGTGGTTTCATTGATAATGTTCTGATGGAGTTGCTCTGGGTGCTCAAGGGTTGACACTGTGCCTTCCCTCCTCTCTCTTAAAGAGACAGCAGCGCCTCCCATGCACTGGGTTCCAGCTGTGTGCTCTCTCTGAGCTGGCTGCTGGAGGAGTGCAGCTGGAGAAGCCACCCTTCCTCCCTTAGGTTCTTGGGAGGAGAAGCTGATGCTGCAGAGAGGGCTTTGTAAGACTCTAGGGCAACCCCCAGAGTTTGCCTGCGGCCTCTTTAGGGAAGTTCCCACCAATATAGTCCCCCACCAGGGAGTTCCCTCTCCCTGAGGAGCAGCCTGCCCTCTGAGTGGACAGGCCACCTTGGGTCTAGTGCTTCCTGGGGTCTCCTGGGAGATACTGCCTGGGAGGGCTTCGGCCTGCAGTTTCCAGGAGTTCTGTGAGCACAGGGTTTTAGGGCAACCAGGGCACACCAGACCCGAACAGGAAAATCCAAACTCTTCTTTTTTGCTTTTGATACCGAATACGTGTTGACTGGGTCTTTAAGCCCTTGCTGGCGGTTGTAGAGGGACGCTGGAAATGGGTGGGCACAGTTATCCCACAAAGCCTTGCCAAGCCTGTACCTGGATCTGAGTTTCCTCAGGGCACAAGCCCAGGTTCCTGGCCACGACACAGCACCCCTCTCCCTCCCTCTAGTTTCTCAGTCTCTGTCAGAGGCTTTCAGACCCTTCCAAATCTACTCATCCCTTAGGGGGCTCCTTTCTGATGTCTCCTTGAGAATTGACTATGGACCCCTCTCCCCTGTCACTTGCATTTTAAGGAGCAGCCAGCTCTCACCAAAATTCCTCTTCTGAAAAGAGGGGGGGAGTGGGAGGCCCTCAGAAACTACCAGCTAAAGCTAACTTTGTATTTCGAGAAAGAGACCAGTAAAGTGTAAAGTGTAGCTCAAGGAATGTGTCTCCTTTGCATATGTAAGCAGCTGCCTCAGAGGGCTCTATAAATATCAATAATCTGGGGCCCCCTGGTCTATAGAGGCCTCTCTCTGCTGTGGGGGGAGGGTTACCAGACGGGGCTCTGGGACTGAGTCCCACGCAGAGCTGGGGAGCCCTGGGAGCCTGGTCAGAGGAGGAGGCCTGTGGAGTTCACAGTAATGGGGAGCTGGAGTGTGTTTTACAAACTGCTCGTCACCAGGCCCCTGGTAGGTAGCAACAGACTGTTGCCTCTGTGTCCCTGGGTCTCTCTGCTAACTGTAGCCTCTGGCTGTTAAGTGGGAAGACCTGACCCTTTGTTTGGGTGCCCTGGCCC